CTGCCCTCTGTCTTGCTAATGTTGCTTTTATGCTGTCCTGGTAATTTGCTCAGTTTGTACTTTTTACACAGGCCTGCATCGCACATTGGGCAGGTGGGTACTAGAACCTGACTACAAGGGTCTCTAACAATTGGCGCCCAATGTGGGGTTTGAACCATGACCTTGAACCTGCTCAGTGAGGCTACTTAGAATAAAAAGGAAAAAGAAGCCGGGCATGGTGGCGCACACCTGTAATCCCAGCACTCAGGAGGCTGAGGCAGGAGGATCACTGTGAGTTCAAGACCAGCCTGGGCTACACAGTGAGTTCCAGGTCAGTCTCAACTACATAGTGAAACCCTGCCTCAAAAAACAAAACAAAACAAAACAAAAAGGAAAAAGAAAGAAAAGAATCAACAATGCAGTGCTCCTCACATCAAGGTCAAGGACAGCACAAAATCCTGGAAAAAAAGAGGTATGTGCTTCAGATGCGGGAAGGCAGTAGTCAGCTGGGATAAAGCATGGGATAATCTCTTTCAGCCCACATTGGCCTACAGTGCAGAAACAAATGCTGCAAAAGATGGTTAAATACATCATTTTTTTACAAACAAGAACTTTAGATGTGGAACCTAGGGAGTGTGTAAAACATAACATCCAGACAGCTCCACAAAGCAGAAAAGTTATCTCCCTTGGGACTTTAACTGACAACTTGGAGCTTCATGCCTTGTCTTGCAGACAGAACAATCCAGCCTGGGAGCTTCTCAAACTTCTGCTCCACTGGTGAGAGCCACTGGTGAGAACTGTTTAGTTTTGGTTTTAGAACAACTGCTTGCCAAATCTGCTGTCTTCCTGTCTTCCACACAGCAGACTCGCCTCTCTCAGAAAATGTGACATCATTACAGGCAAACTCCAGTGCTTCCCCTCTGGAGGAGGTTGAGCTGCCTCCCCCTCTGCTTGAGTTGCTAAGATCACAGGTGCAGAGAAGGTGGGAGAAAAGCATGAGAACTGCTTGGCTTTTAGTGCACTGGGAAGTGCTGTGGTCAGACGCAGAGAGGGTCAAGCAGGGCTTGCACTCAGCTTGGAAAGAACTAAAATGAAAAAAAAAAAAATCCTTGATGGACAAAATAGGACAGCTCTGAAAAGCATAAAGCAAAACAGAGAGGAAACGCTCGACACTTTAAGAGCCAGAAGGCCAGTGCTGTTATCAGCCTGATGCTGCCTGCAAAGGTCTGGAATCCAAAACAAAGCCAGAGAAGTTGCAACTGTTCTCTACCAGACATCAAGAAATTTTACAAGAGAAATCCAGTTACAAATTTTAACTATTTGATAAATGTATCTTTGTTTCAATATGAGCTGATGCGTAATTGGTGTGCTTAAAAAATTTCTTGTACATTGCAAATTCCTGAACTATGATTATAGGGTTAAACTCGCTCTTTTCTGTACTTTGTTGATGAAGAACTCAAGGATAGTACTTACTGTTCTATCGGTAGTCAAATTTTAAAATGTAACAATGTGAGAACAGAAGGAAAAAAGGGACACTTTAAAATTTTAACAGCCAGCCGGGCTTGGTGGCGCAAGCCTATAATCCCAGTCCTCAGGAGGCTGAGGCAGGAGGATCGCTGTGAGTTTGATAACAGCCTAGGCTACAAAGTGAGTTCCAGGTCAGTCTCAACTACGTAGTGAGACCCTGTCTCAAAAAAAAAAATTTTTTTTTAACAGCTGAAGACAAGTCTGTTATAGAAGGTTTATAGGATGTAAGATGAAGGAAAAACATTTAAAAAGCTAAGTAGAAGAGATATACTTTTGATATGAAAGGATTTTGTATGTTTGTCTTGTTAGAAAGATAAAGAGAGATATACAAGACCAGAAGGCCTAGGTCTATGAGAAGGTGCGTGGAAGTGATTTATCCAGGAAATATGCATGCTTGCTTGTTGGTTTCAAGTTTGTTATAAAAGATTTACATTTACAGGCATAAAGAGACATATCAATGAATATTACTTAAATATGTTACTGTAATATGTTTACCTTGGTTGTCATCAAAGGGTTAAATTCTAAATATGTTATTGTGATATGTTTACACTGGTCATCTTCAAAAGATGAAATTTTCTGTGAGAAAAAACAAGGTTTTATTGAAAAGATGCTTTGACACCAAATTAAACTAAAGGACATATGGTTTCATATTTAAAAAACAAACCAACAAAAAAATAAGCAGGACCAGGGATTTAGCTCAGTGGTGCCACTGCCTGCTTGACAAATGCAAAGACTTGAGTTCAAACCCCAGTACCAAAAAATAATGATAATAATAATAATAATAATAATAGTAACAAAAACATGGTCTATCCTACAGGGGACTATTACTTAGCCATAAGAAGGGATAAGGAACTGACACATGCTACATCATGTATGGACACTGAAAACTTCATGCTAGGTCCAAGAAGCCAATCACAAAAGGCTACATCCTATATGATTCCATTTAGAGCGGTACCTCAGTTCACGCACTTAGCTTGTTCTAGGATTTTGAGAAAGACGGCTACATTTGTTTGTGGTAAAGATGGCCACGGTTATTTGTCACCAGATGCAGTTTGCAAACAAAAACAAAATGTTGCCAAATGCAGCAGGTGAGAACCAAACTGTTTACAAAATAAGCATTCGCAAACAGGCACCACTGTATTTGAAATGTCTTGAATAAGCAAATCCAGAGAAATTACCAAATAGTAGTGATGGAATCACAACTCTATAGACATATTAAAAGTCACTGAAGTATACATTTCAGAAGGGTTTTACATTATTTAAATTATATCTCTATAAAGCTGTCATTTTACTTATTATTTATATTTTGGTTTCTTGAGAAAGGGGGTCTGGATATGCAGCCTAGCCTGGCCTTGAACTCACTGTGCAGCCCTGGCTGGCCTTGAACTCGCAGCGATCTTTCTGTCTCAGCCACCCATGTGCTGGGATTTATAGGCTGGGATTACAGGCCTGCCACCACTAAGCCAGGCAAAACTGTTATTTTCTTTTTTGTTTGTTTTGTTTTTTTGGTTTTTGGTTTTTTGAGACAGGGTCTCACTGTGTAGTTGAGACTGACCTGGAACTCACTATGTAGCCCAGGCTGGTCTTGAACTCACAGGGATCCACCTGCCCCAGTCTCCGGAGTGCTGGGATTACAGGCGAGCGAGCGCCACCACGCCCCAGCAAAACTGTTATTTTCAAAAAAGAATACAAAATAGACCCACTCAGCTCTCAGCTAGATTCAGCAATTGTTAAAGCTGTGCCACACTTGCCATGTCCCTTTCTCCAATCCAGACAGCAACATATGCAAATTTATGGCTAGACCATCTGAGGTTTAGTTACTGTAACACTCTGCTTCTAAACACTGCAGCATGTATTCTCCCACACAACCAAAACACAAACATCACACTCTGAAAGTTTAACCCCAATACAAAACTACTGTTTAACCATACTGAAATTCGCTACCAATGGTTATGCGTAGTTGGTTTTCACATCCCTTTAATCTTGAAAAACTCTGCTTTTTTCTTCCTATGACACTGAAGAATCCAAGACAACTGTTTCTCTTTTTTTGGTTTTTTGAGACGGGGTCTCACTATGTAGTTGAGACTGACCTGGAACTCACTCTGTAGCCCAGGCTGGTCTCGAACTCAGAGTGCTCCTCCTGCCTCAGCCTCCCTAGCGCTGGGATTACAGGTGTGCACCACCACGCCCGGCCCTAAGAGAACTGTTTCACAGGATTCCCCTCAAGTGGAATGAGTTTGAAAGTTTCCATATAAACCAACTTTAGATTAAACATTTTTGGCAGGCATACTACACAGATGAGCTGGGTGGGCCCTTCTCAGCGAATCATGCCAGGAAGAATAAACCCAGTCGGCTTCCTCAGTGATGATGCTAAAGCGTTGTTGTTGCTGTTTTTTGCGGTGGTCTGGTTGGTCTTGGTTTGGGTAGTCGCTACCAGATTCCTCTATCAAAGCATGACCTATGGCTTTTTCCCCTTCCTAAGTAATAATCTGGGGAGTGGCTATTTGAAGCGTCTTAAATATTAGGTTTCACTTGTCTTTTACCCAAAATTGTAGCATCCAGACAAGATGTCTGCCTTATATCATCACCCTTTTGACACTGCACCCGTGCGACCACCCACCGTTATCAATGGTATTCCAGTCACAGCTGTGATTTCAACTGCAGCAGCACACCAGAGCTAGTATGTCCGGGGATAGGGCCCAGGCAATCAAGTTTTAAAATTTTCCACAGTGCTTCATTCTGAGGTTGCACAAGCACTGAGGATCCGGGTTAGAGGAAAACTTCCAATACCCTCATCGTGCAAAAAAGGAAACTGAGTTCCAGAAGGCCAATGGCAGGAGCTCACACTTTCCATGGGCTTGCATTTTAATATGCCACCCCGCCCAGAAAAACTAACTTCTGTATGTTGTTGCAACTGACCAGTGCCTGAATGAAGTACGCTGCCACCAGATGTTCCTATTCCTCCTTTCAAAGTCAACTCTGCCTTTTGATCACTAGACCTTTGTGGCCACGGGAGGAGAGAGGGAGCGAGGCGTTCAGTCACCTGGCCCTCCGCCCTCAGGACTCAATGCGACAGCGCAAGCCTGAGGCCTGGCTGGACACACAGGGGCCTGACGTTCAGAACTGCAGCCCCGCGTCCGCCCTGCAGACGCCTTTTGCCGCCACTCCTTGGCAGCAGGCCCCACCTGGCAAGGAGAGACACATCTGGCGGGGTGCACCTGGAGACAGGCTACTGCCCCACCCAGGGTCGCCCAGAAGCGCACAGAGCGCTGAGACAATGGAATCTGCAAGCCCGGCCACGCCCCCACTTACCCCAGCGTGATACACTTTATTCGCTTTTAATCTTTTCCTTGGCAGCAGGCCCCACCTGGCAAGGAGAGACACATCTGGCGGGGTGCACCTGGAGACAGGCTACTGCCCCACCCAGGGTCGCCCAGAAGCGCACAGAGCGCTGAGACAATGGAATCTGCAAGCCCGGCCACGCCCCCACTTACCCCAGCGTGATACACTTTATTCGCTCTTTTAATCTTGATGTCCAGAGAGGTCCCCATCTCTGAGTTTGTGCAGCAGCCGCCACTTCCGGCCGCACGTGACCCGAAAGGAAGAAGGGCCGCCCCGCCCCTTGTCCATCGCCCCCGCCCCCCTCGCAGTGGCATCACGTGACCTCGCACCTACGTCTTGCTTTCTTCTACCCGGAAATGGCGTAAACCGCACGCCTTCCTTTTTCCGGCGCAGAGGCGAGCCTTGGTGCGGGCCCAGGGACTCGAACCCTTGCCCCACCCCCGCCAGGCGTGAGGGGCGGGGCAAAGTTAGCCCCACCCCCCACGAAGGCGGTCTTACATCGGCAATGCCCTCCTCCCGCCTCTCCCGGCGTGTCCCGCGGCAGGGGGCGGGGCCAGAGCCGGTTTGCAGGGCACGTCCCTTGGAGGAAGGTTGAGCTCCCGTAAGGCTGTGCGGCGCGCTGGGCTGCGCTATGGAGGCGGCTCTGAGACGGTTATAACTTGGGAATTCGTTTCTTCATTACGTCTGTTTCCTCTTTCCATCCCTAACCTTCCCCTACTTCCTCCCTGGGGATCTGAGGAGCCGGCGCCCCCCCGTCCCCTCCCCCACAGGAGCATCCTAGTCATCCGCAGGGGCGCGGCCGCACGCTCGTCCCTGCTAAGCGCTGATTGGCTGGCGGCTGTCTTCCCCGCCCCCTCGCGCGCCCCTTCCAAGGTCTTGGAAAGCTCTGGGTGACCTCGCTCTGCTGCGAGCCGCGGCACTGGGTCACCCACCGGCCTGGCTCCGCGGACGCGAGGGCTTGTGGGTATTCCCCAGGCGCGTGTCCTGGAAGCGGGTGCTGAAAACTCAGTCGTGCGCTCGGCGTCGTTTGCGCCAGGGCGGGGGAAGGCACGGAGTTGCAGGTTGGGGCTCGGAAATTGGTTGGAAATGCGAAATTTCAGCTGAAATGGACCTGCCTGTTCTTTTAAGATTTTCATTGCAGGCGAGTACTGCCTCCAGCCAGGCCAAACAGCGTAGTGTTAAGCGTCATACTGCGTTTCTGGAAATACAGTATCTTATAAATTATTTAAAAGCAAGGACTTTAAACATAAGGCCAAATTTCATCATTTTAACAGAGTTTTAAAATGTGAGGAAATGCTTTTTTTATTGCTTCAGACTCCCTGACCCTGTTTTTCTTAGAGTGCATTACTTTTAGGATAACATCAAAATTTTTGTAAGCAGTTTCATGAATTAGTATCACGAATGCCTCCTTGAGAATTTAAGGTTTCTCAATGGGTCCACAGAAATGGTAGGTGGATCAAAACTAGGACACGTTGTCGCTAGGCGAGAGCTCTACCACTGAGCCATGTCCGTCCCAGTCCCTTGCAATTGCTTTTGAAGATTAAAAAACGTGTTTCCCAATGTTCAGGACTCAGTTTTCAACTCCTCTCCGCCCTTGAGGCTTCCCTCTCTTCCTGACAGCTCAAGCTCAGCAATTCTAAAACAGTTCTTTAGGGACTGAATCATCACAGTATAGGCTAGTTGTACCTCTTCACTAGTCTCATCTATCATTTTTAACTGGTAAAAAATTAGTCACAGTAGGTAGGCAATGCAGGGGAACAGAGAAAGAATCGTGTGGATATATATACTAAGTGCGTTTGTTCCAGTAAACCTTATTTATACTTCTCATATAATAGGACAGGTGTAACCTATCTTGTTTGTAGGTTGTACACAATCTTTTTTTTTTTGAGACCGTCTCAGTATGTAGTTGAGACACGTGGAACTCACTATGTAGCCCAGGCTGGTCTCGAACTCACAGTGATCCTCCTGCCTCAGCCTCCCGAGTGCTGGGATTACAGGCGTGCGTCACCATGTCCAGCAGTTGTACACAATCTTTACGGAAGTCTGGTGCGATGTAGAGAGCTCTCTTTCCAGCACTTAGCAGTGTGACCTGTTGAGCCCTCATTTGATGGCTTTCAAATGTAAAATAGTCCATTTTTCTCCAATCACTACTTTTTTAAATCTTTCCGTTTCTTAATTTCATCTTGGTGGTACCTGAACTTTTGGTCAATTTCAGTGTTATGGTTTGGTTTGATTTTTGGTTTTTTGAGGCAGGGTCCGGCTGTGCAGTTCAGGCTGGCCTTGAACTCCCTGTGTAGCCCAGGCTGCCCTTGGACTCTGAGTGACCGCCTGCCTCAGCCTCCTGAGTGCTGGGATTAGAGGTGTGTTCCACCACGCCCAGCAAATCTGAGTTATTAAAAGTCAAACCATGTCAAAGTGTCCGTTTCATGGCTGGAGTGGGAACCTAGGTCCTCAGTGGTGGGAAGGTGAGGGTTGTCCTGGTTCTCAGGCACCCTTCTTGGAGGCCTCGCTTCTGTTGGGACGAGAAGGGAAATGAGGTAAATGTCTCTTAATTGTCCATTGCTGAAATCGTCTTAGTCGCTGCTTGGTTACCTGAATAAATGGCCCTTATTTGAAACTCATCTCACACAGCACTGAGAAGGCCTGGTGGGGCCCTTTCCCCGCCAGACGGGTCCTTGGGAAATGTGTCTCCAGCCTGAGCTTCTCCATCACCTCGCTGCCAGCACCCAGCAGCACCTCGTCTGTCAGCTGAGTTTCCAGCCAGGCAGCAGAGACCTCTTGAACCATACGGACGCGTTGTTGCCACATGAACTTCTGGACCAGAAGTTGTGCGGGGCGTTCTTCTCTACCCTGCCACCTTTATCTTCTTTTCCCTCCCAAAATGTGGCCCGGGATGAATCATCGAAAATGTTCCTGAAACAGTGGCTAACCAGCTTCCCCTTCCGGTAGGCCCTAGTGATACCTGGGAGAGGTCACCTTAAAGTCTCTCCATTGCATCACTGCCCAGCAGAAACACCACCGAGTCGAATCCACAAGCTTCATTGCCACCTTTCGATCCCTCCCTTGCCTGACTGAGAAGGAGAAGACTGGGAAAGGAGTTGGTGGCTGTAGAGCTTGACTTGCAGCTTTTTATGAAGCATCAGGAAAGCAGCCTGAATTGGAGGTATCTTTCATGGGCAGAGGGGAAACTATACCTGTGGCATTAGTAATCAACTCTGGGACAACACCAGTCCCGCTAAGCATTTTAAAGTAGGTGCTGTGGTCCTCTGCCCAGATCCTCTTTTTCAGGACTGAAGGACATGTTTCCTGGGCTGCCAGGAATGATAGTCTCAGTGTCTTCGGCTGAGTCACTGCAGAACTCTCCTTAGCCGAACTAGCCTTGCTCAAGATCACGCTCCCTCCTTGAAGGCAACTCAAGTCTACTGACTAATTGACTTAGGGTGTAAAGGCCACTCCCCGCTCACCCCGGCTCAGGACCACTCTGAAGGACCGTTCGGTCTCCACAGCTTTCTGTATTATCAATTGCTATGTAATGTTCTGAACGTTTGTCAGGAACACAATTCCAACCTAGAATATATAACAGAACACATACAACAAAACATACACATAAAGATAAATGGACTAAGATGGTAAGAGATGTAACAGTTTATTGAAAATGGAGAAAAGAGCATTTTAATGAGTATAATTAATAAGACAGTAGTGGAGAATTCGCTTTTAAGAGTACAGTGCTTATATAAACACAACTGCTCGGCCCTAATGGTTGGATGAGTGGCTTAGATTGAAGGGAGCCAGGTGTGGTGGTGCATGCTGATAGTCAGTACTCGGGAGGCTGAGGCAGGTGGATCGCCGTGAGTTCAAAGCCAGCCTGGGTTACATAGTGTGTTCGAGGCCACTCTGAACTGCAGAGCAAGACCTGCCTCAAAAAAACACAAAGCGTGAATGTTGAAAACCAAAACATATGGTCCAACCAAAGAAAAGTATTTTTGGAAAAATTATTAGAAAAGTTCAGAAATTTGGCCAGAATAAAATGGTGACTGGGATTTACTTCCAAGTAACTCCAAGGGAAGAAGAGAAGAGGCGAGCGATGCAAGGAGTTTTGGTTGGAGCCAGCTGATCTCAAAGCAGACACTGGTAAAGCCAGGTGAGGTGGTGCATGCACCAGGAGGCTGAGGCAAGAGGATCGTTGAGAGTTCAAGGCCAGCCTGGGCTGCACAGTGATACCATGTCTCAAAAGATGAGAGGGGAAAAATGATGCTGACTATTGTTGAAGCAGGGAGCATTGTCTTTAAATTCACTTCTCCTTTGGATAAACTTGGATTTCATAATGGAAACAAGACACATAGTAAGCTGTTTTTGCAATATTAAGCTAAGGTATTTAAAATTTTTCTTATAATTCCCAGTAGGTTCTTCCCAACTCTCCCTGCATCAAATTTATACTCCAAACAAATCACAAAATGTGTCAAAAAAACAAAAAAAAAAAGATTAAAAAATATAGCCGGGTGTGGTGGCACACGCCTGTAATCCCACGGCTGAGGCAGGAGGATCGCTGTGAGTTCAAGACCAGCCTGGGCTACATAGTGAGTTCCAGTTCAGTCTCAACTACATAGTTGTTTTTTGTTTTTGTTTTTGTTTTTTTGGTACTGGGGTTGGAACTCAGGTCCTTGTGCTTGTAAGGCAGGCGGCAGAACCTCTGAGCTCAATCCTCAACTACATAGTGAGACCCCGTCTCAAAAAAAAAATCATAAAATGTGTGATAAAGAATATTATTCCAAAGATATGAAACAGGTCCAGTCGGGGGGAGGGGTTGCAGAAAGAGAAGAGGTTAGGAGTGGGCCCTGAGTGGGGTCTGGCTGCCCCTTGCTGTGGGTGGTCCAGTTAAAACTGGCGCCTACGTGGGGATGGAAAGGAAGTCAGGTTAGAATCTGCGACTGAGTTTTTGGCTGACTCAGCCAGCAGAGTGTGTGCAGGGGGTTCAGGCTGGATCAAGCAAGCCCTGAAGTTTGGCCTGGCCTGTGGAGACGCCAGTGCAGACCGCTCCAGTGGGGGCATGGCGGGCACCCACTTTGAGCATGGCCCTCTCTCTGTCTCAGAACGCTGCTGGGCAAGGTGAGGAAATGAAGGGTGTGAACAGTGAATTCTGCGGTGCTGCTAACCGAGTTCTAGCTCCATAGTGGAGAGGTTGATGCCCCCCTCCTACCTCCCCACAGCAGAAGTGCTTGCTGGAAAGTAAAACTGGGCCAGTTTATGGAGAAATGGAGACTGTTGCTTTTTTGACTATTTGT